TGACTCAAGCATATTTGTGGTGTACCAAAGCCTGATATTTCCGGTTCAGCTGCGCTGCAAAGGTCCATTGTTGTAACCATCAGGACCGCATTAGTGAGTCACCGCGTTTCCCCGGGTGACAGGTTCCCTTGTTAAAATGTAAATGGGCGCTGATTCTGAATCGGTTCCACGTTTGCTGCTTTACGGCCAAAAATATTCCCCATGGGAAAAGAAAAGCTCCAGTCGAGCTTTAATATGTACCTGTAAAAACGAAACTTCAGCTCCGGCCTTCTCGCGTCCAAGCAGGATTGTTTTGCCGTCACGCGGCCGAAACCAATCGTTAAATAAATGCTGCCGGTTCGGCACGGGGCTTCTTTCCCTTCTCCTCAGGTAGTTGGAGAAAATAGTTTCCCAGCGATATTCTCCTTAAACAGTGCGCAGCTCGTTTCATTTTGGGGGTCATAGAGATGTTAACGAATGGCAGCATCTGTTGCACATTGTGGCGATAATCATTAGGACACAGTGGGTGACGGGGAGGCGGCGGTAGTTCGCGTAGCTGTAAGAACATTAACATACGCTCTGGCCTTATGGCGGCTCTGTGTCAGGATGCAGCTGCTGCGCCTCTTTACCCCAGCGTGACGCGCATTCTCCCAGACAGGCAGACTTTATTTCAAGAGAGGGCCCTGCTTTGGCAGAGTTATTTTTTCTTTTATCTTTTTCTTTTTTTTCTTTTTTCTACATGGCTTTGAGAAATGACTTTTCTGCTTCACCACCCTGAGCATGTAGTCGGGGATCACAACATCCCTCAGACTACAATCAATTATTTCTCTCTGCACTGACTGATGCTTTTAAAAGTGACATTTATGCAGCGCCTGGTTTCTTATATAACTCTCTGCGCCATACACTCGTCGTAATGGGGATTTCTGGTTGTCACTGGTAACTCGCTCAGGACTGGGACATGGAGCTGCAGGTGGGTTTTATAAAACATCCATCCTGCTTTTTCACTCACTTCAAATAAGTTCTAAAATAATAGCAGTAGTAATGTTTAAGCTGTAACAATGACGATAACATAATAGCGCTTTTAATAATGTTGTAATTCTAAATGGGCTTTAACTTCAGATGTGTAGTAGAGTTGCTCTATTAAATAAAGCTGTTAGTTCGCAGCTGTTTGCTCCACCAGATAAAAGCTGAATGGTGACAAAGTTTCTGTTCCTGCTTGTCCTTTTAGGCTGTAGTGGTGGACTGATGCCTGTCTCCGGCGTTCATGTTTTAAGGCGAGAGCACTGCCAATCAAGCTTGTATACGCGCTGCTCACACTCTCCCCCTTTCTCTCCACTAAGGCCAGTTATCATGGCCACCATGTCGGCGGATAAATGCTTTTTCTGGAACAATTAGTTGCTTCTCCACCATTAGCGCAGCTGCATGAGCATGATTAAGGGCGCCAAAACCTTCCACTTGGTTCTGATTGGTCGTTTCTGACTGGGAGCGGTGAATTTCTCCAGAAGGCAAAAGTAGCACTGGAAGAAGTGTTACTTTATTTTTATCACATTTTTTTTTTTTTTTTTCTTTTTGGAAACCCTTTTTTTTTTTTTTTATCCGGTTCTTTTGTGGTTAATTTAAT